TATTTCAGAACCCCCTTCCCCTTCCCCATTTCTGAAGAATGGTCTAGACCCGAAACATCAGCTTTCCTGCTCCTCTGATGCTGCTTGGCCTGCTCTGTTCATCCAGCTCTACACCTTGTTGTCTCAGATTCTCCAGCATTGGCAGTTCCTACTATCTCTGTAACAGCCCATCCAGTCTTTCTATATAACTCAAACCTTTCATACCTGGCAACATCCTGGTAAATCTCTTCTGAACCCTCTCCAGCTTAATAATATCCTTCCTATAACTGGGTGACCAGAACTGGTCACAGTATTCCAGAAGAGGCCTCATCAATGTCCTGCACAACCTCAATGTGACTTCCCAACTCCTATACTCAAAGGACTTAGCAATGAAGGCAAGCATGCCAAACACCTTTTTTAATCACCCTGTCTACTATATGTGATGCAAACTTCAAAGAATTATGTTACTGCACCCCAGGTCCCTCTGTTCTACAACACTAACCAAGGCCTTACCATTAACTGTATAAGCCCGACCCTTGTGTATCAAAATACAATACCTTGCATTTATCCTGATTGAACTAACTCCATCTGCCATTTATCAGCCCATTGACCCATTTAATCAAGATCCCTTTGTAATCTTAGAAAGCCTTCTACACTGTCTGTAAGATGCCACCAACTTTGGTGACATCTAAAACTTACTAGCCATGCCTCCCATATTCTCATCTAAATCACTTATATAAATGACATCTGAAGTATTCTCCTTTGCTGGCAACCTACAATTCTATTATTATACTTCTGACATCTTTAATTTCATTTCACATGGGTCCCAAAAGCCAGTGGCGGTAACATGGGTCTCCACCTCATTTATCCTTCCAAAGAACTGAATGAGAAGAGCAAAGGAGGGAAAGTTGTGATCATGGTCTGATGTTCTTGGCTTCAGTTCTGCTTTCATACTGCACAAAGAATGATAGCAGAATGCCATCAGAAAAGTGGTCGAAGTTGAGAAACCTACACCAATATTTTTGCATTCTGTACACAGGGTTTGTTATGGCTGGTTTGAATACATCCAGTGCTCAACCTAGAGACTGGAAAGAAGATAGATCAGCAGCAGCAAAAAAACGGAACAAAGACAGTGACTGCAGGCTGTGCTGTGAGAAGCAGATCTGTTGATTAATGGCTATGATTAAGGTGGTTAGGAAACAGGTGATTAAGTGGCACACCATGTTGTGGTGTTAGACTTATAGAAGGGACAGCATGCCAGCAATTGTTTACAATTGGAAAAGGCAGTCCTTCAGGATCAGAACATGGGTGCACCGTACCCGATATTGATGTTCAGATAATATCTCATGGCTGCGCTGAATGCCAGATGGTTTGGTTTTGAACTCCAAATCAGTTTCAGAATGGGAAAGCAAAATCAATTACATAATATGCAATAGTGTAACAATGGAATAGGCTTTAACATAGTGAGATAAATGAAACACTGTTTAGTCGGATTAAAGCATAAAAATAGCTTTTTTCTTCTCTTTCCATCTGATGGGTCTTGCGGGGTCAAGCTTCACAGATACCAACTTCAACACAGCACTTCAACCTATTATTTTTCATATGTTTGAACATGGAGAGACTGATCACTGGCAGACTTGCAAAATTGTGCAAAGCAGTACCGGTAAATACTTCAGTTCTGAAGAAGAGTCTTATGGGACTTGAAAAGTTAACTCTTGTTTTTCTCTCCACGGATGCTGCCAGATCTGCAGCATTTCTGTTTCTCCAGCAATTTCTGTTTTTGTTTCAGCTTAGTTCAAAGACCATATCAAAATTGGGTTCTTCTGGTTTGTACAGATGAGCACCACACCAGGCAGCATGTTTATTCACTAAATAGCCAGAGGAATAAAAATCTATATTGGTTAACACCACAGTGAAGCAACAGGTTCTCCAAATCTATTCCAATTCTACATCTGAATCCCATATGACAGGACTCGTTTTTCTTAAATCAGGAGTTGGCACACAGTCTCACAGTAAATGATAATTGGGCATTCCGAGTGAAGATGTACTTTCTGTTTTGGGAAGGAACATCAATGAAAAGAAAATGAGAGCAGCTGTTAAGAGGAAATTAGCGTACGCTTTATATTGATGCCAATTTGCAACAAAATATCTGCTGAAAACATTTTTAAGTTTGTTGCCTTTCCACTAGGAAAGAACTGGCAAACAATTGTAAATATTATTCTTGTAACCAACGTCTGGTGTAAATTATAGCCCATTTTATTCATCAACTGTGGTACATACAGTCTTGAAAGATGCAGTATGATGTTTGAAAAATGCAGTATGAAGAATTAAGAACAAACTCTCGATTTACAGGATGCTAAATTGAAACCATCTGCCTCAACATAAATTCAACAAGAGTATGAGAAAAACTGTAAATTGGAAATCTTACTCCAGGGTCATTGGATGGTCAACGTGTCAAATGGGAACACATCACATTGGTGTTGTGGGTAATACTCTCCTGGGTAGTGAGCACTTTAGTCAACAAAGAGATGTTGATTTGAACTTCGCAGGATGATAAAGAGGGACCTTTACTATATCTACCCAAAGCTGACCTAATTTCATGATGGCTAAGGAGGCAGCATAGGGAGTTCATTCCACATTTACACAGGTAAGGTTTGATGGGACAACATAATTGGAGCTTTGCAACACAGTTAACCCATGTTGTATACGGCTTAGGAGTGCTTTGGGATACTTAAACCAGGAAAGTATTAGTTATCAGCTTCTGCCTCGAAGCAAAAAGATAGTTCACTCACCCACAATAATCTATCACAACTGCTCAAAAAATATCTAGTTATAGCTGGAGAAAAGTGACGGTCACTGAAGACAGATTGAATCTTTCAGAGAAAACGTCAAGGGACTGGTTGCAAACTGAAGAAGTGTGGAAGCAGTGTTGTTACTGCAGAAAGTAATCAGGTCAAAAAGGTACTCCAACAATGTGAAGAATGTCAAAATAAGAATCGTACCTTTGCGGCTGCATCTGTCAGAACTTCCAGAGCCTGGGATAATTGATGGAACAATTCCACTACAAAATTCAGAAAAACAAAGAGTGAATATAAGAAGAGCACGTCTCAATGGTAGTACAAAATGCAATGCAAGCAGGGTCGACTAAAATTTTCAAAATGGAGGCTAATAAAATTTGCTCAACATCTGTTAATGAACACGAAGCAAAGGAAGGTAAATGGTGTTTCAATATGGATCAGCCATAATCAAACTGAATGATAGGCCAAACTCAAGGAACTGAATGAGAGGTTACAGAGTAAGATGAAGATTCATTCCTGCAGATGCCAAGATAAACCAGAACCCTCGTGCTTATGATTCGGTACTAGCAACACATTTGTGGGGTCTGCAGTCCTACCAATGTTACATTGGGAAACTGAAATAAAGAAGTCTGGCAACTTGTGGCTTAATATCTAAAATGAGCATGAAACCTGCTGGATTGTTGCTATGAATCCAGACTTGGTTCAGGGAACAGAATCTGCCATCCCCGTCAAATCCATACATGACCCCAGATGGAACTGATAATGAGCATACATATGAATGTACTCTTTTTCTCTCACTGATATATCACCTGACACCTTGAGCCTGCTTAATTTGATAAGATTGTACCTGATTGTGGCCTCAAGTCTACTTTTGTGTCTATCTCCATGACCCTCGGCTCTCCGTTGTCCATCAAGAATCTAACTCAGCACCAAAAGATATTCACTGACCGTGCCTCCACGGTAGGAAAAGGAAACTACTAACAACCCTTTGAGAGTAAGAAATTTCTCCTTCTCTTTGTCTTGAATGGGATTCTCATTGTTTCAAACTGTGCTCCCTAATTCTAGTTCCTCCCGTAAGGAAAATCATCCTCTCAGCACTTAAGTCACATTAGGAACTAAAATGTTTCGATAAGATCACCTTCATTCATCTCACTCCAATAGAAACAGGCCTACTTGATCGGCCTTCACGAATAAACATATGGATATGAGAACAAGGAACAAGAGTAAGCATGTGGCCCTGCAAACATGCTCCACCACTGAATAATATCATGGTTAATCTGAATGCGACCTCAACTCAACATGCCTGCATATCACCTATAATCTTTCATCCCATTGGTAATCAAGATTATCTTTGCCTTCAAAATACTTAAAGATTCTGCATCCACTACCTTTTGAGGAATGGAATTCCAAAGACACTCACCGCTTTGACAGTAAAATGTTTCCTCATTTCTGTTTTAAATGGGCAACTCTTTGCTTTTAAACAAAGTCCCTCAGTTCTAGATTCTCCCACGAAAGGGGACATCCTTTCCACACTCACCTGATCAAGTCCCCTCAGGATCTTATATGTTATAATTAAGAAACATCTGACTTTACTAAACTCCAGAGGATACAGGCCTAGACTGTCAAACCTTTCCTCATAAAGCAATCTGCTGATTCCAGGTATTAGTCTAGGAAACCATCTCTGAACTGTTTCCAATGCGTTAACATCCTTCTGTAAGTACAGTGACCAGTACTGTACACAGTACTCCAGGTGTGGTCTCAACTATGGTCTATATAACTGGAGCATAACCTCCCTACTTTTGCATTCAATTCCCCTTACAATAAAACATAACTTTCCATTAGCTTTCCTGAAGACCTGCTGGACCTACATACTAACCTTCTGTGATTCATGCAATAGGACACGCAGCTTTTACTTTCCACAATAACCTTTGATGTGGCATATTATCAAACACTTTCTGGAAAGAAAATAACCGCTCAAAGGAGGAATTAGTGAAGTGAATCTTCCTTAAAATGCTTCCAATGAAATTATATATTTTTTTCAAGTAAGGAGGCCAAAATTATACATTGTGATCTCACCAAGACCCTACACACTGCAGTGAAATTTCCCTACTTCCAGATTCCATTCTCTTTGCTATAAACAACATCATTTTATTTGCCTTCCTAATCACTTGCTATACCTTGCACCAGGATGTCCAGATCCCTCAGAACTCCAGTTCTGCAAACTCAATCCATTAAATAGCATACTGCGTTTCAATTCTTCCTGCCAAAGCAAACAAGTTCACAATTTCCCACATTATACTCCATCTGCAAAACTTTTGTCCAGTCAACTTAAGCCAAATCTGCCTCTTTGCACGCTATTTATGTCCTCATCACAAACTACTCTCCTATCTATCTTAATCTCTGCCTCTTGTTGGCAAAACAATTCTTTATACACATATTACTCCCGATAACAGGAGTTCTTATTTTGTGCAGTAATCTTTGAAGTAGGATCTTATCAAATGTCTTTTGAAAATCCCCCTAAAAAAAAGCTTACAAATTAGTCAAACACTATTTTGGTTTCACAAAATCATGTTGACTCAGCCTGACTGCATTTAGATTTTCTAAGCGTCCGTTCTAACTTTCTTAATAATATTTTTCAACATTCCCCTTATGAAAGATAATAAGCTAACTAGCCTTTCTGTCTCCCTCCTTTTTGAAAAGAGGAGTTCATTTGCTACTTACCTATCCAGTGGGTTCTCTATAGAACCTAGGGAATACAACCAATGCAGCTACTCTCTCACTAGCCACTTCTTTTAATACGCTGTGACACAGGTTGAGAACATGTCAGCCAGAGTTTTAATAATTTTCTCATTACCCTTGCTCTGTCACCCACTTCCTTCAGAAGTTTTATTTGGCTGTATAATCTTTGATTTCAATCCAACCGTCTCAAAACAACATGGGAATGAACAATAAACATGGCCTTGCCAGAATTGCTCAACTAAGAACCAAAAAAACAACTTTTAGCAGATTTGCTATCCTATTGAATAATATACAAGAACTAGAAGATTTGAAATATTGAAGACGTTTGAAAAGATATAATAAAAGTTGCTATTGTATTGAATATTCTTTCTCAATCCAATATTGACTCACCTAGATACCTCAATTCATTACCTCCCATGTTGACCAGTTTCTCAACAGGCTCATGAACGCATTAAAAGCATGGATGCCACATTCCCATCCACCCTGATAACCTCTGATTCACCTGTCTAACAAGAATCTATCCAGGTCTATCTTCAAAATATTCAATGACCTCGCTTCCACTGCCTTCTGGGGCAGAGAGTTCCAAAGTCGCATAACCTTTGAGAGAGAAAAAATAAACTCTTCTGACCTGAAAGAGTAACTCCTAAGTTTAAAACAATGTCCTTTAGTTCTGGACTGACCCATAACAGGAACCATCCTTTCCACATCCGCCTTGTCAAGATCATTTCAGAATTTTATATACTTAAATAAAGTCACCTCTTACTCTTCTAAACTCCAGTGAAAACAAAACCAACCTGTCTAATTTAACCCCATAAGATAACCTGCTTATTCCATGCTCAAATCTACAGTTCCTCTGAACTGTCTCCAATGCATTTATATGCTTCCTTAAACGAAGAGGCTAGAACTGCACACAGTATTCGAGCTGTGATCTCACATTCAACCTGTTAACAGCAAATGTAGGAGAGAAGCAGCTAGTAATTGACGCAGCAAGGTGAATGGCAGCAGCCGACAAAGCTAGCAAAGGTCTTTGGGGTTTTGAAAGAGAGATATGGGATAAAGATAATTGGATCGGGGAAAGGTGTGGTTACTGTTGAGGGAAATGGCAAAGTGAGGCTGCTAGATGAAGGATCCAGGCCAATGAGGGAGGATTGGGATTGAGGCTAGGATCCAGAGAATGAGGCTGGGTGCCAAGGACAGGGCCTGGGGAGCTGGAGGGAAAGCGAGGTGCAAAGGGAGCTCCATAGGTGGGAACAAGGGGCTGCAAATGGGGCTATGAAAACAGGGAGAGAGGACTACAAAGGGGGAAGGGGGAACTGCACGTGGGGAGAACAGTTTTTAAAGCTGTTCAATAAAAGAACACCCAGCTAACCGAGAACAGAAAAGTATAAAGTAACAAATTAATGTTGAGTCTCTAAGTTAAAGCTGACGTTCAATAAAGATATTGAGAATGCTATTGTAATGATCCCTGTGATGACTGTATAACTTAATAATCAATAGCTTTATTTTATAAAGAGGTCATTTGTGTGTTATCACACCTCAAAGCATCCAGCATAGTAATTATTTAGCTGTGACCTCAGCAGTCTGGAGAAAGCATTTTTGTGTAAAGAAGTGGGTAACATTTCTTTTTGAATCAAGACCTTTGTTGCCAACTTTATCGATTATTTTGTACTAATTTAAATACGATTGTGTCTAGAAAATTAATGCTTCCTTGTGTATGTCTTTAAGTTTAACGTAGCTATGATGAATATTGATGAATTCTTCTAATTTTGTTTCTTTGATAAATCAAAAGCCCCATTTATCAACAATAAATAAAGGCTGCTGAGAGGCTGCATAATCTAACGGAGGAGTCAGTTGGATTAAAAAGGGAGCTCCTAAAAATCAAAAAGTTGCCCTCAACAACTCTTAGGAGTGCCCACAAAAAAAAACGTTAACGAGTGGAATGAGAGCAAGACAACCTGCAATTTTATGGGACTTTTAACGCATGAAACCAGTCCAGGGCATTTAGCAATTATATTGTCAGATATACCTACCAACTTGCCTCTGCCAAAAATGATTAATCAGCTTTCCTAATACATTCTGCTTTTGCTCAAAGAAGGCTGTAAGGAGCAAAAAGAAAATGTAGAGCTGAGGACACATTCATCAAGGATATTCTTGAGCTCAGGGCCTTGATGGCTAATCTTAGGTGGGCTGAAAGTTTTCTTTTACAAGGAGAGTCACAGACTAGACCAGCATTTATTGTATTTCTCTAATTGCCCTTGAAAAGGTGGTAATGAGCATCTTATTGAATCACTGAGGTTCATCTGATGCGTGTACTCCCACAGTGCTGTTAGGAAGGGAGTTCCAGGATTTTAACAAGTGACAATGATGGAATACAATATACTCCCAAGTAAGGTCAGTATGTGGCTTGGATGAGAACTTGAAAATCATTGTACAGTACAGCACTGGAAGAGGCCCTTCAGCCCACCATATCTATGCCAACCAAGATGCCATTTTAAACTAACCTCATCTATGTGCACATGGTCCA